CTTCCACAGAGCGATATCGATGGTGATACCACGCTCACGCTCGGCCTTCAGTTTGTCCAGCACCCAGGCGTACTTGAAGGAACCTTTGCCCATCTGGAGAAGGAAATTAGCAAATGCATTTATTTTTGCTACTATAAAAACACATACAAGTAAAACTGCAACATTGCGCTGGGCTTTGACTGAATGTATAGATTATAATTTATTTACAAGTTATTAGGTGTGGGTGTTCTGTAAAGACACTGGTAGTTTAAGATGAGAACCAATTAGATTAAATATAACTTTAATTGCCTAGATTAAACTTAAAAAGCCAGAAATCATTGTGAAACTGTTCTGCCAGGAAATTTAAACCCAAGGTTTAATGGGTCTTGCTTCATGCAACCAGGACACCACTGGTGACCCAATGGTGGCCAGTGGTCACTTGGCCTAAATTTGGGAACCTTTTGGCTGAACTGCAGGCTGTGCTTACATGTTTTACTTTACACCATTAGTTGTATAATATCTGTGCTCAGCTGAGTCACTTTTTTCTTCATTTGATGACTGTGTGGAAAATGTACATGGATAACATTTTTTCCCCCTCGAGTAAATTAAAAGAATTCCCTTTTCTCTCTCAGATTAGGGCATTATAACAGTGTCTTACTGCACAAAAGACATTTGTCTTCTAGCCATGATTGTGCTGCACTTCATATGAAGTTAAAAAAAAAAGTGAGTAAAATGTGGGGGAGCACAAAATGCCCACAAGCTAGTTTGGAGGGTCATAGGGTTTTTACAAAGTGATTTGAGGGCCAATACATCCTTTTAATTGTATTTTTCTTCGCTGAAGACATTACCGCAGCTTTAAATATTTTGTGAGATCATATCTAACGATAAATTTGCCGTTTTAATCCCGTTCCAGCAGCCCCAGGCCTCCACTGAACAAAGTGCACAGTCACCGTCAGCGCTGCCCGCGTTAAGCCCCACCCAGCGTGCGCGCTCACGATCACTACGCCCTCGTGCCGGGCAGCTGAGCGGAGCGGAGGCACGCTGACGCCGCCATCTTGGACGGGACTATAACGGTTCTAAAGATGAGACAAAAAAAGAATGTGAAAAATGTCGCTCACCTCGGCGGCCTCCTTCTCAAACTTCTCGATGGTTCTCTTGTCGATTCCTCCGCACTTGTAGATCAAGTGGCCGGTGGAGGTGGACTTTCCGGAGTCGACATGGCCAATGACCACGATGTTGATGTGGGTCTTTTCCTTTCCCATTGTTGTAGTTTCTACGAGGAAATTAAAAAAAAAAAAAAGCAAACAGTTATTTCTCAGAAACCATGTTTGTTTTATGAGCTTTGTTAACCGGGAGGACACGTTTACTTTAACCGTGACACGGTGGGCCCGGCTTAATCCTAGCACCAGGCCGGCATGAGTCTGATTAAAGTACCCAAACGAGCCACTTAAAGCTCACATTTCTCATAAAGTAAATACAATATGTATTAAAAATCCCCGCGTTACTCGGCGGTAACTGCTCGGGGGTCTGAGCCGCTACCAGGCGGCGGCTGCTAGGCCTCACTCGGCCACAGGCCAGCCGAGACACGTGTTACTCCGTGGGCCACGTCGGATAAAGTTACAAAGATCGCCAAATATTCAGCAGCTATCTGCTCCGGACTCCCAACACCTGTCGCTGAGAAACACCGGCAGTTGTTCCCCGGAGGAGGGAGAAGAGAAATGCCTTTCCAGCATCCTAGGATCTCCGCTTTCTCTCCTCTTCTTTGTTCCTTTTCCCCCTCATTTTCTCCTCCCTCTTAAACCCTCCTTTGTTCAAAAAAAGTTCTAAAATCACCCAAAACCTCAAACTTAGCTTCACACAAAAGACACAAATCAAGCTAGCGAAGAAAACGTGCTAACTACGGCTCACATTTTAAGCTAATTCCTTTCAAAAAGCCACAGGTTATTGTCAAGTTACATAACCGAAAAACGCAAAGTTTGGCTCGGAAAAAAATAAACACCTCGAGGCAAGAAAAACACAAACTAATCCAGATTAGAGGTGGAACCGGCGACATGTCCGGGCCTGCTCACGGAGGAGCCGGTGAGTCAGAGCTCAACTTACCGGTGTTTCTGGGTTTTCACGGCCTAAGCTGCTGCCCCTAGCCAGGTAACAGAAAGAGGAAGAGTGGGGTCGGACCGGGAGGTTTTATAGTGAAGGGGAGGCGGCCTGACGTCCCGTCGCCCTCCCCGCAACAAACCCCGCAAATCACACACATTCCTGAAAAAACGTCAGCACGCCGCCGCATGAAGCTGCGACATGTATGATGCCGAGCGGGGCCGAAATCAGGCTGAATTCAGTGAAATAAACCAGAGAC